CCTTTTCCCAAAACGAGGGCAAAGAAAACACATTCCCACTTGGATATCATGACTCACGTAGAAGGCAACCCGCAGGAAACCACACTGCTCCTATGAGCACTACAGACAGTATCCTCAGCCTCACAGCAAACCTTGGGCAGCCTTCTCCTGTTCTCTTATCTCACCAGGCCATGCAGCCACAAAGGACAGACCCTGCCCCACCTCTTGGCCAGGCAAGGTCCAAGGTGTCACATCAGCCCTGCTCCTGAATCCAGAGGCAAATTTGGACCTGCTCACCACCAGGTTCCTCAGCTAAACTTCATTCCAGTACAAGAAGAGATCAATACAACCCAGACAAAGATAAAAAAAGTTCAGAAGTTGGAACTTCTCTTGTCACAAGTTACCCCTTGAAGAACAAAAAGGGAACTGTTTTATTTATTGTAGTATTTTAATGACTTGAGTTTAGGAAAAAAAAGCACAAGTAAGAAAAGTGAAATCAACAAAAATACAGTTTAAAGAAGGGCAGTTTTCTGAACAACTGTATTTCTCTCTACACTCAATCACATATGGTTCTACATAACTTGTGAGTTTATAGCAGTCCTCAAGGAAGGAGAATAAAGGATCAAGCTTGTTAGGAACAAGCAGCTCCTCTGCAAAGGGCTGAATTTTATCTACCAAGTCCTGTAATTTAAACATCCTTTTTTTGGTACCCAGAGAGTTTTCCAAAGGCTCCAGTTCCAGGAACCAACTATATAACTCCTGTTAAAAGAACAAGTTCCTAACTCTTGTGCTATCAAAGCAAACACTGTAAATCCATGGCTGAAACCAGTGGTCATGCTTGGCAATGATGAGAGCACATCACATGGGCATGCCCTGATCCCAAAGACACTGAAGTTACTGATAACCTTTTCCTTGCCTCTAGTGGCTCTTAGATCAGAGCTTTAAATAAAACAGATAGTGGCTCGTGCACTTACTGAGAAAAGAATCTACAGAAACGATGGAAAAAAAGTAATTTTTTTTAAATAAATTTTTCCATATAAGGAACATGGAATCTTCCTGTGAAGGGAAATTCCAAAACTAGGACCAAAATAAATACTGAAGTGGGATGCCAAGTAGCAGCAGCATAGGACTGATGTGAAATAGCCAACAAGCAAGACCTTAAGCTGTGATTTGAAGAAACACAATAATAAACCTATGAGACACATACTACATAATCTGGGTTTGTTCATGTACAGTCAATATTTTTACACCAATGACTTTTTTTTTTTTGGTTTTTTTAGCATAAAGCACCTTGCATGCAACTGTCTTCAGGAAATTTAACAGTTGACCAACATCCTGTAATTATCATACCTTGTTAAGAGATAAAGGAACAAGTTCAGAGATAAAGCAAGGCACCAACAGCCTTGATCAGCAGCACAGAGCAGGCCAATGGGAATGCTGAAAACAGAAGCCCACATTCCAGCAACTCCCACAAATATCCCCCCACCAGCCCATGAGGCCACTTGCTCTCACAAGGACCGCAAGGAGATCGTATCAACACTGGCATATTTCGAGTGCAAGAGCAGTTCCTGTGGAGAAGCCCCACTTTTAACTCGGTACCACCATTTCAAAAATATGCAACAGATGTCTGTGGATGGCGTTGACAAGTGCTGACTGTTTAACAGCAACCAAAATCGTGAACACTGACCCATCTCTGGGAATGCCATAACCCTGCAGGGAGAAGCCGAACAAAGCTGATGTGTGACATGACACTCACAAGTCCCCAGGAGAAAAATGGGTGGGACAGAACATTCCAGGAGGAGATAACTGAGTTGTTTTAAATTACAGAGCTTGAATCTGTTATTGCCAACTGACACAAAGAACAAAAATTAACAAAAAAATAATCAGGCAACAGTGAAGCACATGGTTTCAGCTCTGCTCCCTTTATACAGAGTAAGATATGAGGCAAAGTCAGTGCCCATCAGATCACTCTGTCGATCAATCTCATTTATATCTGCTTAGCATCCCTCTAATTAATCTTCTAAATGATTCTAAATGCATTCTCCCTAAAAATCTAATACACATCATCTAGTGTAATGTACTATCCTGAATAAAAAAGAAGCTACTCAAATGCAAAACACTCTTACTTCACCTACTATACATTAGCAATGCAACCATATCCATTGATCACACGTTGAAACCACAAATATTCATAACTGAGCTACCTTTACAGTTACCCAAGTTGCCTCCAAATTGCATTTATACCAGGAAAAGCTGCTTTCTGAAAACAAAAGAACTAATAACTCAACTGTATATGTGCCTACTCAAGGGAACAAGACTTGTCATAGAATTCTCCAGACAGCACTACAACCACTGGAAGCATTTCACAATTAAAAGCTACTTTCCCTATCAACAGCCGTAGAAGTGCTACTATCAAGGTCCAAACTCTTTTAGAAGTTGGTCTGACACAGTAAGTTTTCTGCTTTTACTTTTTTCCTACTTGCAAAAAACAACAGCCTCCTAAACCTGAATGAAGCCTGCTATGATAACACAACACTCCAGGGGACACAGCTAAAATTGCTTATCCATGGTTGACTTTGGAGTTCCCTGGGTTTTTAAGTGCTTAACCATCAAAGCTCCCTTTTCTCAAACAGAACAACTCAAAGCCCACAGTGGTGTCTACGCTGACTGCACTTCACTGTGGATAATAAACCTGAGTTTCAAAGTAAAAAAAAAAAAATCCAAAGTATCACTACTAAATGTGTGACTGGCACTTCAGCTCCATTCTCAGCACAACTGCTACTGTGAACAGGCTGAATATCACACAGCTGATGTCACATCACAGAGAACCGAGACTACAATGTAGAAAACCAGCTTCTATGTTGTCACTGTCTGCACAGAAACACACACTGAGGCCAATCTGAGTCTTTGAGATGATTCTGATCATTTTTGTTTTGTTTTCAGCCTTTGTTTAATGCATGTTTGCCTAGCACAGTTACTCAGTTTGTTCTACAGCAAAAGCAAAGGTTTTGCACTGAGATCATAAAACTCATCAGTGACTAGAAGCGACATAGTTCACCTTCTGTAATTAAATCTTGCTGGAGTTCTGAATGAACCTGCTGCACGAAGTGCGAAAAGACAAAAATCCTGCACCATGTGACACCTCCAAGTGTTTCTAAGAGTTAGCTGGGAATCAAAAGTTGCTCCTTCAATTACAATGGAGTTGTTTCAGATTAAATTTATCATCAGCAAGACCTGGGATTAGCCCTGCTCCTAAATAAAACCTGACAAGTTACATTCAGGGCACAGCTATGACAATACCTATACTCACTTTGAAGGGCTCTCTGGTACAACCCACACCAGCTGACTTCTCATTTCTAACTTGGCTAAAAATTCTCATTTTACAGCACTTTTCTCCTTGAAAGGCAGTCTCTCCTCCTAGTCTACTGCTACATACCCTGGAAGTGGAATTCCCTGGTGATGGCAAAGAAAGCATCAAGAATTACAGGTATCTCATGAATTTCAGCAGTATCAAGTTTCATTTTGAACCCCTGATGATACTGAATGGGTGGAAATCACATCAACCAGTACGTAACTACTAACTTCACACCAGAAAGAAGTCTGAGTTGGCAAACTACAGCTTGGTAGTTTAACTTGGTATGAGTGAACTGGCAGTTCCACAAACAGGGCTAAACTCAGGCAGATTTGGGCTATTTTCAGTTCTTGCTCTTGCCACAGAAGACAGGAAGAACATGCACAGCAGAATGACAGAATATTAAGAGCCCCTTAGGCATTATGCCATTGTATTGAGCTACTAACAACTTAGACAGTGACTTAGACAGTGGTTTCTGATTAAAAAATTAAGCCACACTGATTCAATAACAGGTGACCACACAGTGAGTTACAAATATTTCTATTACTTTTGTTGGCTATTCATGCCACTGATGCACCAACTTATCTGTCATTTCTGCCAGCAGACATCACCATGCCCTTATGTAACACATGTTGTACTGAAATCTTGAATATAGCTCGGTTTTGCTGACCCCCTGATTAAAAAAAATATAAAATAATAAAAAATGCAGAGAAAGGAGATGACACAGGCAAGAGATATGGAAGAAATTCTATACAAGAGAAGCGTCTAAAAAGCTAAGAATTCTTTACCTTGAAGTAAAGGAGGTAAGGATATAATGAAAGAACACAGTTCTGAAATAGTACAAAGATAGTGAGCAGAGAACAAGCATAACACACTTTATAAGAACCAAATAGTATCAGGCAGTAAAAAGAAGCAAAAGAAAATAGTTTTTCTACATATTAACCAGTGGAACTCACTGCTGACAGACTTTCTAAACTGTTCATATTTCTAGAATCTGGAAAAAAATCATTTGGATGAATTAATGGCAAGTGTGTCAAGGGCTATAAAACACGCAGGTGTGGACACACTGACAGTTGCAAAAATGTAAACTGTAGCTGGAGAAGAAAAGGTATTTCAAGATTACCACTCTCTGCTATAGCATATACTCCTGACAACCGAGCACAAACAGCCTGAGTGTTGCTGGAATCCAAGCGCAGGAGAGATGGCAACAAAACCAGAAGCAGGAAAGCGTGAAGAGAGATCCCGAACGCCAACCGCGGTTCATGCTCTGCACGCTGCGCTCAGACAGACCAAAAGACCTGGCCCGAAGCAAGAACAATTGCGACACGCATTCTTCGCGAGGAAAGTTATTCCCTTCTTTCCCTCTCTCGCACGAGCTGCTGGATTCGGCTCAGACTACGTGCAGCCACGGCTTCTGGTGGGACACCGAGGCGAAGCGCAGCAGCTCCTCGCGGAGCCCCTGGATGCAGCTCCTGGAAGCCGAGCGTGCGAGGGGAGCAGCTTTGAAATGGCTACTTACAGAGCCCAGACACGCGGCGCAGGAGCCCCGCGGGGCAGCCCGGACCGCGCTCCCGCAGCCGGGGCAGCGCCAGAGCCCCGCGGGCCGCGACCCCTCAGCGCGGCCCCGCCGCCCCCGCCCCGCCGCCCCCGCCCGGCGCCCACCGCCCACCTGGCGCGGGGCTCCCCGCCCGGCCTCTCCTCACCGCTCCGTGCCCGGCGTCCCGGCCGGGCGCCCCGCGACGAGGCGCTCTCGGTGGGAGGGAGGGAGGGGGGGGCGAGAGGGCTGAGACCCTGCGCGGCCTCCGGCGCATGGGAGGCGGCGCGCCCTGGGCCGGGAATGCCGGAGCCCCGCCGGACCCGAGCAGGTTCCCGGCGGCTCCGGGGCTCAGGCTCAGCCTCTCCCGCTCCCCTCGCGCCCGCCCGCGCACGGCGCCGCTCGCGCCCGCTGCCGCCACCTGCCGGCACGAGCCCGGCACGTCCCGAGCCCTCCCCCGGCGCTCCAGAGGGTGGGTGTCCAGCGGGGATGGGTGTCCAGCGGGATGGATGCCCAGCGGGGACCGGGGGGGGGGGCACGGCACCTTCCAGCCGCGCCGGTGCGCGGACGTGCGGGGGAGAAGGCGGCGGGGGGCGGTGCGGGGGCTGCCCCGCGGATCACCCGCGTCCGTCCTCACCCCCGTCCGCCCGCCCCCGTGTCCATCTCCCCTCCGCCCGCCTCCGCCCGCCCCCCCCGCGCCCATCCCCGCGCGGTGCGGTGACATCCAGAGGTGTCAGGGAGCGGTGCCCCTGCAGGAGCGGCTGGGCAGGTGCCGCTGCCGGGGCCGTCCGGGCTCCGCCACCGCAGCGGGAATGCGGGACATTGTCATCTCTCAGCTCCTCCAGCCCTTCGCTGTTGGAGACACTAACGCACCCCACGCTGCTGCCTTCGGACGCTACAAGAAAACACGGGAGACAACTGTCATCTCCCTGCCCACCGGCTGGATGAAAGACCATCTGCTTCCAGCAAAAATACTCATAGCTAGAAGATAATCTGCGTTCCTGATAGTGTTTGCTTAAAAGCCCGA